TTTTCTGGTATTCAAAGAGCCATTCAAGGAAAATGAACGTCACTTCGGTCGTCCATGAACGTGACCCTACATCATGCAAGAAACCGTTTTCAAAAAGCGCGCGACGTCCTGAACCACCCCCTGGTGAGTCCTCAGGGCTCCTGGAGAATCCTAACTGTTTCATCAGCAGGTCTCCCGCCTTGGCGGATTATGGTTCGTGAACCGTGCGTATGCTGCCGCATCCAGCTTTGACATGATAATCCGAGCTCTGGCAGCATCGTCGAGTGAGGTGCCATCCTGTTATAATGTCTTCGTAGCAGCTGTAGCAAACGTCAGTGGTCTAACCATTTTCTGGATCCCATAGACGGGTGAATTGATGACCAATTCGCCGACGTTGTGTGGGCTGTCTCTGGGGCTATTGCCGTGAAATTGCCCCCCATCTCCATCATTAGTGGCAGCATCTTCCTTTAAGTTTCCTGAGCTTCGAGAATTGGCCGTAGAGTGTCCGCGCCCATGTTGAGTCAGCTGGTCGGCGTAGTCGGTACTGACTGCCAGCTGTAGGAGTCGAATAGGAAGTTCATTAAAGAACTTGAATACGAAGACGAACGGTTACCGAGGAATCGGCGTCTTTCTATACTGGTAGGCCGTGGTCAAACAATCTAGTGAAAACCCATAAGTAAAGATCAAGCACGAGTTGGCGCTCAAATGATATCATTTGTTGACAATGGGTGGTCACCGTATTAAGATTCTTATTTCCATAACAAAGCCACATCTTCCTTTCGCTAAACTCGCCATGTACACTCGTATAGGAAATGTTCAGGACTATTCTGGCCCAGATTGCGTGTACGCTAAGAATAAGTGTCATAAACATGATCAGGTGCACTGTTTACCCCTACAAAGGGATTTCGATCAAACAAGTTGCTCTGACCTTCTTAGGTTTGCGTATTGGGTTCTGCTAACGACTCCCGCTACTGAAGTCATATTTGCCCTCGTTACGCTGAATTTCCGATCTATGTCACATAAGCATTTAACTAACAACAATGATTAAGCTTGTTGAAGGACGAAGGAAGAACCACCAAGCGCACTCGAAAATGTCGGTAAAGCCGTAAGAGTGCAACTGCTTTTCTCTCAGTGGGAGAGGACGAGAGTTTTGTTGAAGAGGACGGTTTAGGATACTTGTTCACTTTCCTAGCGACTGCCCAGTCGAAATTCATGCAATAAAAGAGTTTGTTCACAACAATCTGGCGTTAAAGCTGGCCAGAGATCTGTTGGCATTGCTATTACGATGATGTGAGACTCTGCTCACACTGCCGACCGAATCGTCATGTACGACGTGAAAAAGTCGCAATATGTTTTGAAGCTCAAAACTTGTTTCCAGGGATAATCAGTGGTCCTGATCACGAGTCTGACACTTATTTTTGACGGTTTATTTTGGCGTCAGCGTTGCGCCGAACACCTGGGTCTGTGTATACACGCAGATTCGAAAGGAAAAAGCAGTTCCGCTTCATAAAATAGGATTACTCATTTCTCTGATGTCTTCATCAGAACAGAGTATCAAAGCAAACATGCACCTGAAAAATAAAAGTTGTAGAAAAAAACCAAAAACCGTTTTTGAATAACCCACTACGCTGTGAACGACATCCCTGGTTAGAGGCGTATAACTGGGTTGCACACGTTTCCACGCACAAAGGAATACAGGCAGTGGGGAGTTCGGAAGTGCAAAAGCTTGTCCAAAAGCGAATGGTCCACGAACCACCTCGTTGGAGGGTTCATCTCGCTATCCATCACAACATACGCCCTTTGCAAAATTCACCACATAACAGGAGAGTTCCTTTGTTTGTCAAGCCTGGTTGAAAAACGCTGCGTAAACTATATATACCATTTTCACTTTGAATCGGACACTTTTCAAACCAAATCGGACACTTTTCAAACCAAATCGGACACTTTTCAAATCAAATCGGACACTTTTCAAATCAAATCGGACACACCCCTTACAATGGGCAGTTGAGAACTAGACCACACTAGGTACTGCTGCAAGCCCCGCCCACTTCTCAGCTATAATGATATTAATGATTTCTCGGCACTAATTACACTTTACTGCCCCATACTTCAACATCTGAGCCAGGCACCCGTCTAGATTCGGTCCAGGTTTTAAACGTAAGTTTCCTCCGGGGGTTAACCTGACTGAGAATTTTTTCTCGATGACAGTTGAACCCTGAATACGAATTCCGCACGCGAGGTTCGAAACCGCGTGATATATGCGCTATGGATGCCAGTACGAAAAATGTCCTCTTGCGCTGGCGCCAGGCATTGTCGTTTAGGATGGTACAATGTTCTCGCGGTTAATGCCGTTTGGACTCCAGAAATTTCGGCACCGAGCTCATTTTTAAATTGCCTAAGTCACCAAATCCGCTAAAAACTTGTATATAGGGGTAGTTTAACATCCTGATTACGAATATGACATTCACCCTTATCGCTGGGCGGGATGAGATGACACTACGATTATCTGCGCTCTGCTAAGGCTGAGCCCAGGAGGTAATCGTAGTGTCCTCTCTTGGCGCCAGCGACAAGAGTGAATGTCATATTCGTAATCAGGATGTTAAACTACCCCTATATACAAGTTTTTAGCGGATTTGGTGACTTAGGCAATTTAAATGAGCTCGGTGCCGAATTTTGGAGTCAAACAGCATCGAGTCTGTTCTTCGCTCAGGAGTAGAATCCAATCACCGGGACACATCGTTCCCACAAATCCACCCCTTGAAAAGTTCGGTCGAGAAAGCGTCAAAAGCTGTGGTCCCAACTCTAAAGTGTGAGACAGTGAAGCGTAAATAGTGCCGAACTCTTCAGTGAGATTCACTGGTTTACATGGAACTCAAAATTTAATTTTTCAGCAAGAGATGGATCCCATGCAAAGCATGGCTGCTATGTCAAATAATCCTATGATACGGCCATCGATGCAACAGATGGGAGGCATGTACCCGCCCCAGGTCAGTTTTATACTTCTCGCTGGTTGAAGCGCGTTTATACTTCGCGATCGCGCGATCGGATAAGCGATACATTGGAGCGCTGTGACCGCACGACCACCAAGTATGTCGCGCTCTTAGCTCCGTGTTTCGATCAAGCACCAAGAGAATAGAACAGTAGTTGTAAGTATGAGGGAGTTTGCTTAGGGACACATTGTACGATCCATAAAGATGGATCCTTTCCATGTGCAAGGGGTGAAGTTCGCTGCAGTGAAGTGTGACCCTACCGTCACTCAGAAATGTGTGACAATGAAGGCAGAGTCTTGTGATAGCTTGATCTTCCTTGTGTCTCTGCCCTCCGTTCGGTAAATGATGCGCATCCCGCAGCCGTGGCCTGCCATGAATTTGTGCTTGAACGCCGCGTAGATATGGTTTGGCGTACGCCCAGCCGTGCGTGTGGCATGGCTGGGCGTGCGTATCGCGTGTCGATGGTGGGTGGAGCCATAGGAACATCTAGCTACCACAAGCCTTCAGCTTGATTACCGAACTAACTTTCATGCGGCAAGAGCATACACTTTTAACGTTATAGAACCTGCCCACCTTGCATATGGAAAAGAATCACCTTCAGGTAATCGCGCAGGGTTTGTTAAAAAAGTTTCTCACTTGAACTGATTGTAAGAAAGTTTGAAGTGGTATTTTTGAGAATTATTTTTTGATTTGGAATTGAATGTAATGTGAGAAGATTTCAGAGTGGACAAATGAGCATGTACGGTGGAGCTGCTCCTCAACAATCTCCGCACTTCCCTCCTCAAGGCGTTCCACCTGGTTATCGACCACAATACGCTCCTCAGCCTGGGTATCCCGGAATGCAGCAGCCAATGTACACGGCGCAACAAACTCAACAACAGCGACCGAATGCATACGCAACACCACAGCCAACGAGTGCCAATCATTACGGATATGGAGCGCCATCACAGAGTGGCTATCCACCACAACAGTACCCTCCACCACAGATGCGACCACAGTATCCTCAAGGGCAACAAGCAGTAAGTTGTCTTTTTTTTCTGGTATTGTTG